AATCAGAGCATCATCTGTTTGTGTAGGTGAAGTTTAAAATGAAAGGATGCTTTCTGAAGATAAAGAGGATTAACAGGACAACTGAACAGCAGCAGCAACTGAGGTTCCAAATGAGTTTTACCTGCTGGTTTCCCAGGATCCATTTCCATGGCAGGTTCTCTGCAAGACAATTTATTTCCTCCCTCCCCTTCAGATCCTGTGGTGGAAGTTCAAGGCTCTGTCAGCAGTGGCAGGGTTAAAAGTGAGGGTGTGATCTATGTTAGAGCTAATATGTGTTTTGAGCCAATACACTATCAGGGATCTTGTGGTCAGCTCACTCTGTGTGCTAAATCCAATCAATATCTGTTATTCCCCTCTGAACCCCACCCACCAGCATCTTCCCAGGCTCACCTCTTGCCAGTAGTCACTTGGGGATAATTATCCCCACCAAGGGCCTACCTCTAATGTGCCCACTGTCTTTCCTCCTGCCATAAATTGGTCAGATTCAGGCACTAAGATAACAAATCTAGTCTGTATCATCATCATTGCTGTTAGTTTACAAGTTCTTTGGAACTAAAAGAGGGGTGGCAAGCTAATAATTGGCTCTAGCTAAAGTTATACGTACCTGGTGAGTGGTTCCTCATTGGGTACTTGTGTAACTAATTATTCCTAACGAAGTCTGGAAGCAATGTCCTAAGCTTGACTGCTCTTCAGCAACACTGTCCACAGCTTTAGTTCTCTCTGAAGTGATGGAGCAGCTCTTCCTTTTCTGCCAGTACCTCTGAATAGTTACAATTCACTCTGTGGCTTGCTTTGATTTTATTTTAGTGTGTTCTACTGTTCTTTCCGTGCACTTCCTCTTCTGTTTGAAGGGACTGATGAGCTCTTGGTCCTCTAAATTGGGATAATTTGTGTGTCTACCCACAGTGTAATTTCTTTAAAGGACTTGCCAGCTATCCTGAACTCCTTTTTAGATCTCTTTTTGCCCATGACATGTTTCCTCTTCATTCTCTGAGACTACAGGTGTCTTCTTTGTGGAAGTCTGCCATTTGTTAGGCTTCCTGAGGAAAAGTAAACCCCTTGACAAATTTCAATCCCATTTGCCAAATTTCACTCAGCTCTTGAGAGAGGAATTTCAAGACATTACCTTCCTATTAGGGTCATTATTTCCACAGCTTCTCAGTTGGTCAATCTTCCACACCTCAGAGAGGACACTGCTTTACTCACTGACAAAGTATCTTATCTGTCCTGTTTGTTGTCCTTGGAAAAAAACTTCTGTATGTGTTAAAAGCTGAAAATGTGTAAATAAATAAATAGAACCAGACAGACTGCCAGGTGTTCATTCAGTTAGGAAATACTCAAGATGAGCAGGCTGCCTGGGCTTAAGAAATTAAAAACTCTTATAAGCAAAACCCTTTTCCCCCCCAATAGGAAGTTTTTCCAGCAAGATATTTCAGGATAAAAGCTAAATGTTTTATCCAGGCTGGAAACAGCCTTGGGAGCAAACAGATAGCTGCAGTTACCTAGGTGCTCAAATAGGAAGAGCTAGCACTGAAAAAAGCTGTAGCATTGCTGGTGGGGAAAAAAAAGATACACAGACCATTAACCTTTGAGACTGACACCATAGCAACTTGGCAAGAAAATGTCTTAAAAAGTAAGGCCAGAATCACTCTTAGAAACTCCAGGAACTGTGGCACTTGTTAACATGGTAGCCTTGTGGAAAGGAGGCTCCAGAATGAGAAAAGGTATTATTAAATGTAGAGAAGGCAAATTAATACTGGAGATTAAAAATCCTTCACTTGAAGTCTGCTAAAAGAGAGTCAAGGAGGTAGAACTGATGTGACTTAATTTCACAAACCCAAAATGGGTTTCTCTACCCAGCCTGCCCTAGCAAATGGCCTTTTTCAACACAACTATCTGTAATGGGCCCGTGTCAAGATGCCAGCAGACTTCTGGCAACACCAACTGCAGGAGGTGATTAGAATTTATGCTGTGTAAAATTAACTTTTCCATTAAATGAAAATTATGACCCAAACATGCAGAAGCTTTGAGATGGCAACGGAGCCACGCCGCTCGTTTCAAGGGGCTACAGCTCAGTGTGCTGAAGAGTTCACAGACCAACAGCTCTGGCTACTCCAGCAGCTTCCCCTTCCAGCCCCACACTGCTCTTCCCCCCACCAGAAACCTGAGGTGTAAATATGTCACTGGCATACTGAGCTACCTGCATTTCTTAAAGACCAAGTGAAGAACAGGAAGAGAAAATGAGGAAAACATTAAACTGGAAAATATGTAAACTGATCAGATCTGAGCTACAGGAAAGTTGTACACTCTGCTAGATTAGTCAAGAATTCTAAGGTAATTTAATATAGTATTGAATTTTTTTTGTCCTTTGAATCAAATTAGTACTTTACCCAGTCATCTGTTCACTTCAGAAAGTTTGTTTGGGTCCATTTCGTAGGATTTCACTGCTGTGCTTCTATTTCATGATCCAGCAACTACTGCCCATAGAGGGGAATCAGCTACTTTCTTTTTAAACTTCTTCAGGGCTTCTGGCCGAATTCCACATGGACTTGATGATTTAACAACTTCTCTTCATTTTGTAAATTTAAGTATTCTCTCTTTTTTTTTTTAAATCTAAAATCTGCTTTTTTTTTTTTTTAAATCAAAGTGTTTCAGCATCCTCTGTGGTGAGAGCTGTAGAAGTACAATGATATTTTTGCACTAAAGTCTTTGCCCCTCTTTAATCAGTATTTTCTCAAAAAAAAAAAATCAAACATTTAAAAGTAATTTTAGATATAGGACTATTTGCATAAATATCCATTTAGCCTGCTCTATTAAGTGGTGTTTGCTTACTTATGTTACAACACTGTGAAGTCAACTTCATTTGAAATGGAGAGCTAACTTCTGCCTTCTGAGTCTTTCACAGAGCAGGAAAGGAACTAAAACCTTCTGGAAGGGAAAGGAAAAATATGAGGGGAAAAAAAAATCACAGTGCTATGATAACTAAAAGTCACTGAATTCATTAACTCCTCTGTTTTGAACATTTGTATCATTCCTCTCCATGTATGTGATTTGCCATGTCAGTCCTCCTCTTATTTTTCACCTGTAAAATGCCAAGTGTGACACTTTTTTTACTGGTTTCCCATTAGTTGGATTTTATTTCATAAAGAATATTGCTAGAATGAACCTTAGATCTTGTTACTTCATCCACCT